ACAGTAGCCCTGACGTCCTAAAACATCGCATAAATACATGTTCTAATATGTTAGATGTCCTTACCCAACCCTAAACACAAGTTGCTACAGCCCTAAACACAAGTTGCTACAGCCCTAAACACAAGTTGCTACAGCCCTAAACACAAGTTGCTACAGCCCTAAACACAAGTTGCTACAACCCTAAACACAAGTTGCTACAACCCTAAACACAAGTTGCTACAACCCTAAACACAAGTTGCTACAGCCCTAAACACAAGTTGCTACAATAAACCCAGAGCATAAGTATACCAGCAATGTTTATTTCTTAGGGGAGGGAAACCACATACAACTTAGATACTGTGACCATGCTTGGAGTACAGAAGTGGAAAGGGGGAGAGAGAGGGGGGGGGGGAGGGCTGGGAATGGTAGACATAAACAACTTCAACGAAACTCTTGGAGTAAGTTATCACAGGCGAGTACTCAACAACTTCAACGAGTATGTTATCACAGGCGAGTACTCAACAACTTCAACGAGTAAGTTATCTCAGGCGAGTATTCAACAACTTCAATGAGTATGTTATTACAGGCGAGTACTCAACAACTTCAACGAGTAAGTTATCTCAGGCGAGTACTCAACAACTTCAACGAGTAAGTTATCTCAGGCGAGTACTCAACAACTTCAATGAGTATGTTATCACAGGCGAGTACTCAACAACTTCAATGAGTATGTTATCACAGGCGAGTACTCAACAAAGAATATGCCCTAGAAAAAACTGCAGCAAGTCATGAGCCCTAACATACCTGGCATTTTGAAAGCAGGACCTAGCCTATATTATTCGCTGAACCTATAATTTCATCATTACACTTTCCACCTTTCACTACCCTGGCCCAGCCTCTTGATGATATTCCATGTCTTCCTGCTAATGGGAAAGCTCCTCTGTCTCCCAAAAATCGAAAAATAAATAATCTAGCCGTGCTTGTTTGTGTTTCAGTAACTGTCCGTTTTTACAGGGTGGGTAGTTGGCCTTTCGCAAACAGGCACTTTTCGGGGTGACCAGACCTATACACCTTTGGTCGACTTTTACGACCTGCAGTATCACGGTAGGTGTATTCTTTGTTCCCTAATAGTCAAACTATGCC